CAACACCCTTTCCTCAAGGGCAGGGCCATGACTGCTGATGGAGGTCCCTGGGATGGAGTTGGGGCACATTGTACCTTGCCTTTGGCAAGATCTTTGCCTCACAGAAGTGCTGCTGAAAGTTGTATGTGAGCAGTTTTGAAAACTTAGAAAACAAACAAAAACAAGGAAATAAGTCATCTGGCTTTTCATTACTCTAAGATAACAAGGGCTGGAGTTTAAGTCTCTTGTGTGCCTTTTTTTAAGTAGGCATGTCTACATGACAACATAATCACATAGAGAAAAATGTTTACATATGATGTGGTTCTACTTTGCATAGTGTTTTGTAACCTGCCTTTTAAAATTTTTTGTGGTAAAGTCAGCAATTGATATGGGAGAACTCTTAAGAGTATGTTTATGGTTAAAAGACAGACAAGAGGCAGGGGACAGTTCTGTTCATCAGTGTAATCTTGCAATGACAATTTGCCAAAAACACTATTGTGAATCAGTCAGCAACCTTGTGTGCAGGGATCTGTGTTGATGATTCCTCCTAAGAGGTGCACAGGGAGCAGCTGATTGTTCAGGTCATAGTGATATTTATTGTGGATCCTCACCTGGTGCTCCTGGAGAATTCATAAGTAAATCATGACCCAAATGTTGTGAGGTTGGGAATGGAAGATATTAGGACAGGGACAGTCATAAAGAATGAGCCCCAGAATTATCAAAAGATAACAAGTGTTGGCAAGAATTTGGAGAAAAGGGAAGAATCCTTGCATCCTTTTGGTGGAAATATAAATTAATACAACTAATATGAAAAACAATGCACAGGTAGTTCTAGTTTTAATTTTTTGAGGAACCTGTGCATGGCGGTATACATTTAAGGGAAATGAAACCAGTGTGTTGAAGAGATATCTGCATTCCTGTGTTTAAACTGCAGAACTATTCACAATAGCCAAGATAATGAAACAACCTAAGTGTCCATCAACTGACGAATGGATAGAGAAAATATAGAACATATACACAGTGGAATATTATTTAGCCAATAGGGAGAGATTGGGTAAGAAGCTATAATTTCACAGGAAGAATAGATTCTGGTGTTAGGGTAAATACAACTAATGATAACATAGTATATATTTTTAAAGATAGAAGAAAGGATTTTGAATGTTTTACCACAAAGAAATGATAAATACTTCAGGTGATGGGCATGCTAATTACCCCGATTTGATCATTATTCAGTACACACATATATGAAAATAACAGTACACTCCATAAATATGTGTCAATCAAAACATTTTTAAAGAAAGGAGCCCTGGAACTGGGATCAGGAGACCTACTGAGGTCACCAGGGCTTCCCACCTGTTTGGAAATGAGAGCAATGATTGTCACTGCTCTGCGCTGGCCGTCTCTAGGTGCCAGGAGGTCTGAGTGGGTGGGTGCAGCCTCTCGACACACCGGTAGCCTAGGGAAATCATGGCTATGTAGGTGAAAGGCTTTGCTTGGCTGCTTGGAGGACTCCAAAGGGAGGCCTGAGATCCACAGTGCCTGGGACTGGTCCCCAGGGGGCAGTTTGTGTATCATCTTGGGGGACACTGTATTGGAAATGATAGGCTGCTGGGCGTAGGCCCATAACAAGCAACCAGAACAGAGATGAGTGTTCAGCTCCATGTTGTTAAGTCACTGGTCTTCTGGGACAACCCTCTGATGACAGGGAATAGAAAGGGGCACCCCCAAATTGGTTAGAATAATTCTCTATTTAATCCAGAGTTTAAGGCAGTGGTGGTCAATGGATCAACCAGATCAAGATCCTTCCCTGACTTTTGTCAGTGTGTACTCTGGGAGAGCCACTTTACCTCTTCGAGCCTCATTTCCTCTGTGACCCTGAATTAGGAATGTTCACACCTCCCTCTGAGATGGCTCAAATGACAATGACATAACAAGTTCACAGCATGGCACCTGGTCTGCAGTGGGCAGATGCATGTCAAACATTAAGGGAAAGTGGAGAAGCTGGACCACCTGGTGCCTGCAGGTGTCTGGGGCAGGGAACAGCCATGTGAGCCAGTCAGCCTCCATTTCCCACAGTTTGGTCCTGGTCCCCTCCATATTGAGATAGTCCAGCAGGGCTTGCTCCCCACAGATCCCTTTCCCAGCAAATGTGGGAGTGGAGGCCAGGTCCTGAGGGGGCTGAGGGCCTGGGCACAGGCACAATTCCAGCCGCCTTGGTTCCTGGCACGTAATGACTCCTGAGAATTTCTGATAACCTGATACAGTCCATGGCCAAGACTGATTACTGCCATGGAAGACGAGCCTCAAAAGACTTCTCCAAGGCTACATGGACAGCCCGTTGAGAGCTGAAGGCTCAGGCTGGTTGTGCCTGGCATGAAGATCCAAGTCCTTTCTCCAGCACTGGGAGGTCACCACCATGAGCAAGGCTCTGCACACTGGGCGGGCAGTGGCCAGTCACCTGGGTGCCAGCCCTCGAGGACCAACCTGTTTTTAAGAACTGTAGCACAGTGATAAATAATTTCATTGGTATTCTGCTTTTCAAAGGTGAGGAATTAAAGGAAAATACTATGAAGGACTAAAAATCACAGCTGGAAGAAACAGTTTAGTTTAATTCAACCACATATGCTTCCCTTGCAGGGACCACAGGGGTCTCCACCCAGACAGGGGGCAGTTCATCCAACCCTGCGTTTCTCACATGCAGCCTGCACTGCTGCTCTGCTCCCTGGGCTCAGGAAGATGTAAGAAGGACCTACTGGTGGTGGGAGAACCTTGGATTATCCAGTGGGCCAGATGCAATCAAAAGGGTCCTCATAGGGGGAAAGCAGGAGGGCAGAGAGAGGTTACCCTGGCTGGCTTTGAAGACAGAGAGAGGCCACAAGCCAAGGAATGTAGGTGGCTTCTAAGAGACTCCAGGAGGAACTAACTTTGGTTTTAGCCCTGGTAAGACTCTCAAAGCTAAGACCTCTAGAGCTATAAGAGAATAAACATGGATTGCTCTAGGCCAATGTTTGTGGAAACTTGCTACAACAGTAATAGGGAATTAATCCAGGACCCGGATTTTGAACACTACCTTCTATTTAAACATACCTGTCTTATCACTACTGCTATGGAATCTTGCTCCCTGATCTGTGATTGTGCAAGAAAATTGGGCAGAGAAATTACCCCTGCCAGGAAAAACTGGGTGCCTTTACTGGGTTTGATCACTTTCCCACTAAGAAGACCTTAGGAGTGGGGCTAACAGTAAGAATTGTATCATGGTGTACATGTGATGTTTGACGGGGTGGAAGGGGATGGAGGCACCCTCTTCCTCATTACATATGAGTGTTAATTACGCACTGCCTCACCTATTATTCAAGGTCCTCAGCAGTCAACCCAACCTACCAAAGGCCAATGCACACTTCAACATTACTGACAGACTAGGAGAAAATGTCTGAAGGTCTTGATGATTATGCCCCGGTGAGTCCCCCTGGAAAACCCTGTGGCCTTTCCTTTGTACACTAACCAGGCTCCTTCTAGAATAAAATTATTTCATGGCATTTCTAGCAAGCAGTGTTTCAGCACCTACTTGAATTCCTCCAGCAACAGGGCAATCACTGCCAGCAGGCCAGCACTGAGGGACAGTGCTATGGTTTGAGTAGGGCTTATCCCTTTAGAAGTTTAATCTACATAGTGAGGTACTAAGAGGGTAGATGCTTAATTGGACTATAATGCCTAGAGGTGGGGCATCTGTGGTATGATTAGGAGAGGTCGTCAGGGTGGAGCCCTCATGATTGAATACTGGTGGCTTTATAAGGAGAGAAACCAGAGGACAGAGGACAAATTCATTCTCTCTCTCTCTAAGCTGTTTCAGGACTCTGCCTGCAAGAAGGTCATCATCAGATGTGACCCCTCAATCATTAGCACTCAGAGACAAAAATAAACCTCTTTTCTTTATAACTTACCCAGTCTGTGATATTATATTATTGGCAACAGGAAACAGACTCAGGTCAATGGTAAGTCCTTTCTTTGAGAGGCAGATGTAATTTGTGGGCCTTGGCCAGTCTCTGTCCTCTAGGATGACAGGAGCCTGTCAATCCCTCCACCAGATGCTACCCTAAACCTGACCAGGATGCCACCAGACTTGGCCCGTCACCTAATGGCAAAATTTTTGACTTTTTAAACCAAGTTCTGATAAAAAATGCAGAGGGATTTAGCCTCAGGAATGTCCTGAAACTGATCACTCAGGACATTGAGTCTCAGAGATCTTGCCAGCCACAGATCCTCCTCAAAATGCTTTATTATTTTGCCTACTTTTCTTCATTGTCTACAGGACAATGAGAAGAAAATGTGCTATGTGGCATGTAAAACATACTAATATATTTATTTATTAAAACACCACAACAGTAAAGCCTCTGGCTTGCTGTTATGGTTTGGATATGGAATGTTCCCCAAAAGCTCATGTATTGAGGGTGATGTAGGGATATTCAGAGGTGGGACTCATTAGTGGATTAATCCATTTGAAGGATTAATTATTTGAATAGACTACTGGATGATACCTATAGGCAGATGGGGCATGTTGGAGGAAGTCGGTCACTGAGGATGTGCCCTTGGGGACTGTATCTTGTACCTGGTCCCCCCACTCTCTCTCTCTGCATCTTTGCTGCCATGAGCTGAGCAGCTTTCCTTTGCCACACCTTCCCTCCATGATGTTCTGCCCCTAGTCAAGCCCAAGGCAATGGAGTTGGCTGACCATGAACTAAATCCTCTGAAATTATGAGGCAAAATAAGTCTTTCCTACTCTAAGTTGTTCTTGTTGGGTATTTTGGTCACAGCAAAAAAAGCTGATAAACACACTAATTGAAGTGTTGCCTTCCTCCTACATTATTGAGGAGGTTTCAGGCCGCAGGAGACTCCTGGTTCCTGAGATATGGTCCAGTCTTCTGGAAAGGAACTCCAGCAGGAATTTATAGCCTCTTTCAAATCTCAGCTGTGACATAACTGATGGACCACTTTTTCCTTTTTTCCTGTCAATATTTTTAAAGCATCTAGGGATCCTATCAACACACCACTATTTATGGAAGTGGATCCATCCTGCAGTTGCCAGCTACAAAAGTTCCTGAGCAAGAAGGAAACTGTCTCAGAGAAGGCAGAACAGCGGCTGTCCTGGGGAAAGACTCCAGCTGATAATGGGCTCCAAATGTCTTGGCACCAGCAAGGATTTTGTTTGAAAATGTGTCCTTGTGTTTATGACTGTTCAGTTTGTGCTTGGGTGTACTCATTTCACACCCCCTCCTCCTAATCTCAGACACAATGTCTATCAGGAATGTCTATCAGGAAATGCCTGCCAGTGTCCATAGTAGCTTCAGAAAACAACAACAACAAAAACCCACCATTGATCGACTACAATGCCTTCATTTGTTTTTTGTATTTTAAATTTCTTGGTGGTTTTCATTTACTTTGTAAAGAGGTATTGATTTAAGAACAGTATGCAGTGTGTTGATCCAGGCTGAGGATGCAGAGGCACATGTATCTTCTTTTACATGCTATAGCAGGCACAGGCCAAGGGTCTGACCCACTCAGCCACCTAATGGTGGGCTTCCCATCACCTCTGTTGAGAACCATCACCTGCCTCTGAGGGTAGCCAGGGGCAGTTAATGATCACATCTGGTATCAATAAACACCTTCCAGCTCCCTGGACCTGTCCCTCTGGCAGTGTACTTTATAGAGTCAGTGTCCCTGATTGACTGCAAGAACTTTAGTAGCAAGGAGTGGGAACAGTTTCTAGACTCTGGGCAGAAGGTTTAGAGGAACGGGTATCTGAGACTGAGAGATGCAACTGTTGCTGCCCAAGGGGAGGAAATACCTAGGTGTTTGTGTGGGACACTGTAGTTTAGATCCTAAGTGTCCCCTAAAGCCCATGTGACAAAGTCTTGCTCCCCAAGATGGCACTACGGGGAGGTGATCAAGGCTTTAAGTGGGGTTTAGTGGGAGGTCTTTTGACCATTAGGAGCATGCCCTTGGAGGGGATTGTGGGACCCCACCCACTTTTTTCCCTCTTCTTGGTCTTGAGGTGAACAGCTGTGATCTGCTACCCATTCTTACCATAATGTGCTGCCTCACCACAGGCCTAAAAGCAGTGGGACCAACCATGGACTGAAAGCACAAACCAAAGTAACCCTTTTTTCTTTATAAGTTGATTATCTCAGGTATATGTTACAGTAATGAAGAGCTAAAACATTTTAGGAAAAGTGTAATGCCCTTTGAAAGAAACTGCTGTCACCATCTCCCTTTGTCCTCTGTGCTCACTGGGATGGAAGGAGAAATGGAGCCCTCAAGATCTGAAATAGAACCCTACAGGCAGGAAGGGACAGCCAGAAGAGAACCTACCCTCCATAGGACCATTATATAGTCTTCCTGCCAGGATAAGGCCTGCAAAGTTCCAGGTAAGTTGCTGCCCCTCAGCCAATAACGGCAGCTTGAGTTTCACTTCCATTTCAGTTCCCTTCCCCTCCCAGAGCCTCTGCAAGACATGCCCATTGTAGGAACCAGCTCTGGCAATAAAATAATGAATCATAAATTTTATTCAAAATGTAAACGTCACTAAACATGCATACATGTTAAAACAATAAAATTTACAATTTCGTTAATTTTTTTTTGCATAGGACATCATTACAATATAGAATCTATGCCTTACAAAATACATACAAAGTTTAATCCGAGCAAGCCAAGGCCAGATTGGGAACTGTACAACTGTAATACTTCACTGTAGTGATCCAGAAAAGATGAAATGTGGCCTTCGGAAGCATGGTGGGGAATTGGTTTTAAAAAACAACAAAAACAAAACAATATTTCTACAGAAAAGGAAATTGTGAACTCGATGGAAATGGTGTTGGACCCTTGGATTCTGCCTTGGGATTTTGGCAAATGATTACAGAGAAGCTCCACCAATGGTTTTGGGTGGGAAAGGGTCACTTGGGTGTACCCAGTGTAACTACCCAAGCAGTTCCTGGTCACCAGGGAGCCACAGTAAGCAGCTCCAAACCCACCAATGCATAGTTGCTCAGTAGAGAGCCCCATGCTGACATTGATGGGGGTCCTCAGCACTGGGCACCTGAGGCTTCTTCCAGGTGAGGGAGGGGAAGAGTCTCCCACTCACACACCCACAGACACTGACTGGAGAAGAGACACTGGGGTTGATAACACCCCATTATGGTGCCTGTGCCAAGCTGGGAAGAGGGGGAGCGTGGAAATGTGGGGAGGGATCTTCCAAGCACAAGGAATAGGCTCCTGTGCTGAGTGGAAGGGACAAACTGACCAGTGATGGTCTCCTGCAAGCACTCAGCTTGCACACTGGTTTCCAAACAAGCATGTGCAGTCATCAGTCAACAGGTCCTCTAGGAGGGCATCAGTGAGAAAAGACTCCAGAGTCCCCAGGAGAAAGTTGCACGTGCATCCATCCTGTCCCCTTTCTGACTTCCTGTCCCATTCCACCTGCCCCCATCCTGGAATGTATGATGCAGGGCAGGGGAGGCTGCCTCTCTCCCATCCTGTTTATTTTTAAATAAAAGTAGTAATGTTTTAAAGCTGTATTGAGAAGGGAGAGGCTGGGCAAAGCCAGGTGGCTACACTGCAAGTCCAATAGTGGTAGGGGCTAGTAGAAACCTCTTCCCTCCTGGACACAGGGCTCCTGCCTGATTCCACTCTTCTCAGGGCTAGAGCCAGCCAACAGGAGGAAGGGTCTCTCCCTCAATGGTGTTCAGGCATCTATCAGTAGTAAGCTGGACTATGCATCCAAATTCTGGTACAAAATTCTCTGGAATGTGTCCAGGACAAATCTTTGAAACTTCAGAATCAGGAAAATTAGCCACAGGACCTGGCTCTTCCAGGGGCTACTTTGCTTTCAAAACCTATCAGCCCACATCGGCATTTTAGCTTTGGAAGATATAGTCATCCAGGATGACATACAGAAATGTTGGGTAACAAAAGATGTGGTTAACTTATTAAGCATTTCTTATCATTCAAAATGTGTCTAATACATCAAGCTCTTTAAAACTTCCAGCAGTTTTGACCAAATGGCCTTTTTAAACATGGGTTTAAAAAAAAAAAAAATCAGTGACACCTCTCAGAAATCAAAATAATCAGGTAGCCTTGTTAAAAACAAAAACAAAAACAAAAAACCAGGAGCTGAGAAACGAGGCCACACTATTGCTCAGATCACATCTTCCTGTAGGGTAGCGTATCTGCCCAGCGGAGATCCTGGATGAGGTCCTAGGAAGTGCTAAAACCCTGTGCAGTACATTTAAGTACCTGCTTCTGGCAAGAAAGAGGCTGGGCCACATGACTGGGAGACAGAAATCTTGAATGAAGACCCAGTAGTTCTTCTACCACTCACTCAGGACCTCAGAAAGCCACCAACCCTCTCTACTCATCCCCACCTCTGAATCATCCTCCAGGGATCTGAGCCCTTGCCCAGGTGAGGTCTGGGGTCACCAGTGTGCGGAGGTCTGCACCTGGAGGCTGCACCGTGGCAAATCCTGCACCTACCCCGATGCATGGCCTCAAAGTAGAGGTGGGTGTGTTGGAGGGGGGGCAATCTTGTACCTCAAATCCCATGGGTGGGGAGTGCAGCAAGATGCATAGGGGCATATCCAGGACCACATTCTCTTCCAGGGCATCAATGCCCATCTCTATGTAGCACCCATCAGGAGAGGACCCCAAGGCCCTTTGTGGAAAGGGCTGTGTTGTCTGTTTTTCCATATGGCTGTAGGATTCAGTAGGCATTTGGGGAGTTTACAACCATTCCCCTAATATGGCTGACAAGGGGTTTTCTTGTTTGGGACATGAGCCGAACACCAGCCTTCTGATGGCTGGGTCCAGTCACTTTTAGACGTCTTTTTTTTTTTTTTTAATTTAAGGGAAACTCTCCCTTTACTCAGGCACCCTTCATTTTGAGATCTCTGCCTCTGTGGCCTGCTAGAGCTGAAGTATGTCCCCAAATAAAGATTTGATTGGGAGCCCTATGGGTTCCTTAATCCCACCGAAATCAGCAATCATGGCCATAAACTACAAAAATGAAAGACCCTGAAGTAGACCCAGGCCGGGAAGACAATCTACATCTTAGAAGGCATCCCTCGTTTCATGATGAGATGGAAACCTGCTAATGAGAACCCATGTGAACTGAGCCTGAGATTTAGATTCTTCCCCCCACCCTTCAATGAGATGAATTTAAGTCCCAGATGATTCTGGAGGGTGCAGCCAGGATGCCCAGGGGGAAACTCCCTCCGGGTGCCCTGCCCCCATCTCCCAGGCCAGGCCTATGGTTGAAGGACCGCACCCTGCCATTACACGAGAACCACTTTGGGAATGAAGACACACTCATTTGCCAAAAATAGCCAATGCCTGCATATTTCTGTTTTAAGGCAATATTACCCTTCCATCTATCAGATGGAACAGCCCTGGGTCATTTAGAGGGAAAATTAAATTAAGTGCTCTCTTTGGAAACAGCCTATCCCACTTTCCCTCCCCCACCCCCCACCCCACTCTAAAACAAACCAGCTCTTTCTTTTATTCCAATATGACTGGGTTTAGAGTTCTTTTTCCCCTTCCTATGTGCAGACAGATGTGAAGTTAGAAAACCCCTTGTGATGCTGTAGGCAAGTCACAAGGAGACACCTGGCTCCTCCAGTGGAGAGTGCTTTTCTGGCCGTGTGGGACATGCCACTCCCTCTCCCTGCCTTCGGAACCATAAACATGGGTGCACCAAAGGACTTTGGAATAAAATTCCTGAACCTGGAATGTGAATTCCTGAGACATGAAATGTGGTCAGAGTGTGGCTTTCTCTGCCTCACACAGAAACAACTTTGGGAGGGACCTCACTTTGGAACCAGACATGAAGATTGCCACATCCCCAGCATCCAGGGCTCTCTTCTTCAAGGTCCATACCACATATTCTACTCTCTCCCAAACCAAATGCAAGCTGAGCTATTATAGGGCCCAAAGGCAGCAGGGGGGCCAGGGGGGCCGAATCTGCACTAATGAGATAGCCCCTGCCCCACCATCCCCACCCACAGCACAAACAATGTCACAGACCAAATGGGTACCTACTGTGCTACACAGAAGCCACCACATGCCATTAGCCACTTCCAGATAAGTAGAGCTGGAAACAGGTATCCATAGCATCACAGATGGCATGGTGCCACGTGCACAGCTGCTGTAGATAGAGGGCACCCATCCACTCTGAAGTTGGCATGACACATCAGCCAGAAGCTACAGGCTCCAGCTGGGCCTGGATCGCTGGGGTTTTTCTGTGCTGTACCCCACACAATGTGTGGGCTGGGATGGAAGCAGAATGACTACAACCAAGGCACTCTGGGCCTGGGAAGCCCATCTATGGCCCACTGAGTCCCAAGGGCCATTCCTCATCAAAGTGAGAGATCTCTGCAAGATACTATAACCCGAGTTCACCCCAACACACACACACACACACACACACACACACACACTCTGTCCTGGGGCCTTGTATTTACAGGCCCCAATCCTTGAAAGGAAGGCAAGGCGCAACATGGGCCTTGCAGGGCTAGGCTGGACACTCCACAGGTCTGCAGAGGTGCTTGCTGGAATCCAGCCTAACTGCCCTGGTCTGGGGCTCGAACACCAACCCAGCCCAGGTCAAGGCTTCATAAGAAACTGCCTCAGCTCTCTGCTTTTCCTCCCCTACCAAAAGGTTGGCAATGGGGCGATGCAGGCTAGGCGTGGCCTGGGATCTCCAGGCAGGGCAGGCAGAAGCAAGAGGGAAAGGGAGATAAGTTCTGGCGACAACAAGAAGCCGGAGGTTTGCTCAGTCTGTACCACCAGACATGAAGGGTCTGAGAAAAGTGTTTCCCACAACTTTCCGTCTGGTGTTCCCTGGGGAGAAAAGAGAATGCACATTCTCCAACAGCACTTCCCATGACATTGGCTGCGCCACTCTTGAAAAGTTCCAAGTCACAATGTTCTGGTCTTTTGCCACTGAACGGTCTCTGTGAAGTGCTGCGAACACATGCACACACATGGCCACTCACATAGACCTTCTGACTGAGAAAGCAACGTGATGGTCTTGCCCACTGTTTCAAACAAAGGTGACTCCATAGCAGCATGGGAGAGCTAGGGAACTGGGTACACCGACACTTCATAAAATCATTTTAGAAAACCAGAATTCCCAGGCTCTATTTTCCAGTCAGAGAATATGGTATAATAGTGAAGGGTCCCTGGTGCTGTCTGTTGGGCAGTGGGGGCCCAGACAGGTGGAACCCAGGCTGTCTCCTTAGAGATTGGATGGTGTGATTTTGTGCCCAGCCAGGGCTCGCGTCTCTGCTTCCATTTTTCCAAGGGGCCCAAGAGAGGGCTCCTGAAGGTAGGGAGTGAGACAGGCAGTGCCAGTCATGGAGGGCAGATGACACTCTCCACAATTCCCCCAAGTGGAGTGCTCCTTTGACCTGTCATGGCTTAAGGCATCCCTCGTGAGGTGGCCTGTCCCTCAGACCCATCTGCATTTTGAGCCAAGCCTATGTGGCCAAGGATGGAGGCTGAGTGGATGGGTAGAAGGGAGGGGGAGGACACGCCTCACCACTAAAGGATCTGCCTTGGAATCACAAATGTCAGTGACCACATCTACTCCCAGCTGATGGACTGACCCACATGCATGCTGAGCTCCACCTGCACTGGTTGGCCTGCTCTGTCCCCAGTGTGTTCCCAAACCTAATAGAAAATTCCAGAGTGCAAATCTATGTACAGAGTAAGGCGGCAGGAAGGGGTGCCCTCACTGACCTCGTGGAACGTGTCCATCCCTGAGAAAGGGGGTTCGACACCGCTGAATCGCAACTTTGTGGGTATCTCCATTGTGCAATTTGTGGATGATGTTTTTTGAAATTTTTTTTTGTTTTTTTTCTTCTTTTGATTTTTTTTTGTTTTGTTTTGCTTTTTTTTTTTTTTTTACAAATTGACTTTGACACCTGAGGTGAAGAAAAGTGTTTTTACGTGGACTTTTCATGAAGTTCTTGCTCTTTTTTTCTTATTACAAAAGGAAAGGGCACGGACTGACAAAGAGGAGGTGAGAGCGGCTGCTCATGGCTGTTGTCAGGGTAGGGGTCCTTGGCTGGGCGCGGGGCTGGCGGAGGGACTGGCGGGGCTGTGCTGCTGTGGGTCCAGTGGGGCTCAGGGTGAACTGGCTGGGCTGATGGTGGGGCTGCTGGCATCAGAGCGGCTGTAGTCGCTGAGTGAGCCGGTCCGCGAGCCCCCGCCACGCCGCTGCAGCATGCCGGGGTGGAAGTTGGCGTGGCGGCGAGCATGCTTCGTCAGGTGATCGCTGCGCATGAAGCGCTTCTCGCAGATAGGGCAGCTGAACTTCTTCTCACCAGTGTGTGTGCGGTAGTGCCGTGCCAGCTCATCAGAGCGTGCGAACTTCTTGTTGCAGTCCTGCCAGCTGCAGGCAAAGGGCCTCTCACCTGTGGGGCGACAGAAGCAGAGAATCAGTCTCAGCGTGCACAGTGACACCTAGGATCTTCTGTATGTGTCCGTGCCTTCCCCCATGGCCAAGGTGTGTCCACTCACCATTCCCCAGAGTGGCTCTCTATCCCTACACTCCTGCTCCATCTCATTTACTATGACTTCTCATCAATGCCCTATGCCCTATCTTCTTCATCTTCTGTGTCAAATACATCAGGGTAAAGGTGAAGGTGAACCATGGCCTACCAGCCACCACACTTGGGATGGAAGCAGATGACAGCTCCCAGGATAAAACAGCAGCATTTCCAGCATAGAAGTTGTAGAGTATATGGTTTGTATATGGGCCAGGACTGGTGGTCTCTGGCATTGGACCCCCTAAGTATATGGCATCCAACATGCCCACACAGGGTTAGCTCTCCCCAGCCCTAGGGGAGTGGGGGTATAGGCTCATGCTGTGGTTCCACCTGCTTGCAGGAGCCAAGCTGGCCCACACTGGCCCTATGGGAACCACACCTCAGCTCCCAGATCCCTGAACAGCAAGAAGACAATGTCTACACCTAAGAGTCCTGTCACCACTCCAACCTTCTCAGTTTCTTCAGTATGTAACATGAGGGGGTTAGTCTGGGCATTTTCCAGGGCCCAGCCTCCTCCGCTTTCTCTGAGAGAACTTTGTGTGGCTAGCCAACAAAGGCCAGCAGAGGAGACTTCAACAGGTTCCTATTAGATTTGAGCATGGTAACAGATAGGGTGGTGGACGAGAACACCCCAAAAGGGGCCTACACAGTTGGGGAGAAAGCAAACACAGTGAGCCCAGTTGGGAGGTCATGAAGATCATTTTATAGTCAAGATTCTTCTCCCCTTCTCCCACACCTTGCTCAGAACATGAAGCAGGCTTGCATTTACCAAAGCAAAACAAACAAAAAATCACATTAATTGTTTAAGGAGAATTGGTGTGGATGGGGGTGCTTTGGCACCTTTAGCCTTTCCAGCACTGGGACACAGTCACTCTTCCTCCCTCCTCTACACAGACCCTAAAGCAGACTGCCAGTCTTTGAAACTGGCCCACCTATGCTCAGCAGAGGAAATCTACACCACCCACACATCTTTAAATATAAAGATTTAAATATAAACAGACACTCAAGAATAGTCAGCTAAGGAAAATCAGCAGCACAAAAGGGAAAGGCCAAGAACAACAAAATCACCAATTCCAGATGAAAAAGAGTGAAGCCAGGAAACAGAAGAGAAAGTTAACCTAACAATTCTAATTAGTAATTCTTTGAGGAACTGGAGACAAAATTTGATGCATAAAGCAAACAGAACACCACAGAGAACCATCACCACAACAAAAAAAATAACATTTAGAAATTGAAAATATCACTGCTCAAACAAAAAATTCCATTAAAAAGCTGGAAATATATGCAAGGAAGCATCCCAGAAAATGTGAATGTTGCAGTGTTCTGTTTCCTAGTACTGCTGAAGCCCAGGTCTACGTGAGGCTGAATTTATTCTCATTATTTCTCTTCTTCTGGGGAAGGGTATTTAAGGGACTTTGAAAACCAAGTAGCCATCATCATTTCCCATATCTATTTGACAGTTAAACAGGAGGGGCTAAAAGTTGAAAGCTACAGGGAATTGATCCAGGAGGTCAATGTCTATCTAACAGAAGGTATGGATTGGGAAAATAGAAAAAAAAAAAAAAAAAGATAGAGTACAAGAAATTACAACAAAATAAGATAGCTTTTGTTTGAGTTTAAAAAAGATAAAAGAGGGAGGGTGGGGAAGGAGAAGGAGAATACCAAGAAGACATTGACCAAGTCAGGAGACTAACAAAGGTGGGCAGAGAACTGAGGAAAGGTGGCCCCTGCTGTGAGAGAATCTCTGAAAAGTAAAAACACTGAGTAAAAAGAAGAGATCACAAAACTTAATAAACAGGGAAGGGAGAAACAAATACCAGGTTATCCATGAGGGAACAAGGCTGGGACAAATACCAGTCTTTTCCTAAGTCACAACGGATGCTAGAAGCAGATTAGGGACTTACAAGTTCACATCTCACAGGCTCCAGCAAAAATGAGAGAAAACTGAGAAGCTAGAGACATGAGTAAATAGTGAAGGGGCATCTCAGGTCAAGAACAAGCTGAGTCCTCAGAGGCCACGAGAACAGTAGACCAGGGCTCACAGGAGGCTATTCCAGGAAGAAAGTGAGTTCTGTGTACCAGAAAGTACAACCAAGAGGCTGGATAAACTTTAGGACACAGGGAAAGCACGTTACTATTCTTTAAAGGAAAAAAAGAGAGGCAATTAGAAACTACAGAATAAATATAAGACACAAAAAAACTGTGGTCCAAATCAGAAGCAAACTAAAATACCATGATTATGTGCAATCAGTGAAGGGCTCTAAATCAAAAAACTGTGTTAGGAGCTTTTCATGTGTCACATTATTTATCCTTCAGAACAACCCAATGAGATGGCAGAAGGAAATGTGATTCCAGCACAGGTCCTGGAAGACAGATGTGAACTTCCAAGTCATGGTCACACAAACCCTAGCACCACATGTCAGTGTTCCGGATCAATATTATAGGCCAAGCTCATAGGACTAAATTGTGGACCTGGCAGAGAATTTCATGGAAAAGTGGAAGATCCAGTGTACAAAAGAAATAAATATGTGAGAAACAGGGTGAGAATTAAAAAGATAATCAATAAAAGGATTTAAATAATATATTCATCAATTTGAGAGGTCAGAGAAGGGATAGCAGTGGAATAAATACTGAAAGTTTCATGGCAAAGAAGTAACAACCTAAATTTTATAAATTGAGAAATAGGAATAAAATCAGTTCACTTATGGAAGAATCCACCCAAACAACTAAAATCAGAAAGTGCTGGTCTCTGGGGAGTGGGGCTGACTTGAGAAGATGCTTTTGGTAGTAAGCTTTTCTGTGCTATTGGTCTTTTAAATCATGTGCATTCGTTCCTTTAATAAAAATAAAAAGGAATGTTTAAATATAATTTTTTAAATATCTAGCCCAACATTTCTTACATCATGTTTGAAGAAATGTTAGTATTAAATAAACTGCTAATTGGTTTCAGGGGGAAAAAAAACCTGTCAACAAAAGAGTTTGAGAAATGCTACATGCTAATTCTATGCTTGGACATTCACAATGCATATTAGTCACTAAAATCTCGGAAAGGTCTGGTATTAAATGGTCCAGTATTAAATGTGTCAGGTCAGCCCCTGTGTCCACCACATGCTGATGGTACGGTTTTTAACAAGTTCCTTACTATCTGCAGTGGAGTGAACATTAGCCTTCCAAAAGATATGTCCAAGTCCTAACCTCCAGGACCTTTGAGTGTGGAAAAAAAAAAAAGAAGCATCTGTAGATACAATTAAGGCATAAATTTTAGGATGAGATTGCAAGTGTCCTGAGGAGAGGCAAAGGAAGGGATAGGGATGGGGCAAGGAGAGGGAGAGGAGAATGTAATGTGAAAATGGAGGCAGAAGCTGGAGTGATACATCTCCAAGTCAAGAACACCACGGGTTCCTGGCATCAGAAGACAGAAAAGAAGCTTGGGATGGATTCTCCTCAGAGTCTCCAGAAACAACTAATCCTGCCAATGTCTTGATTTTGGACTTCTGGTTTCAGGAACATTAAGAGTAAATTTCTGGCCAAGTGCAGTGCAACATGCCTATAATCCCAACTATTCAGTAGGCTTAGGCAGGAGGATTGAAAGTTCAAGGCCTGCTTGGGCAATTTAGTGAAATTTTCTCAAATAAAGTAAATAAATAAAAAGGGCTGGGGATACAGTTTGAGGTGGGGGGGGGGCACTCCTGAATTCAATCCCCAACTGGATTGGAGGGGGGATAGATGTAAAATTCTGTTGCCTTTAAGTCACCCAGTTTATGGTGTCATAGCATCCGAAAATGAATATACTGCCCTATTCTCTGAGTGGGGTTCCTGTGACGATTCCAGAGGGTTATATGCAACCAGCCTTGGCACTGTTTGGCATATTTCAAATATTTACTCCTGAAATATTCGCTATCATTGCTGCTCTCATCCATTACCCCATCAACTGGGTCTTTTCAGATCTGGGTCTGGTGGGCTCAGATTCACTATTGCTTCTTAGTAGCTCTAGGGTCTTGTTGGGGGCTTTGTCCTTTTCAGGATTCTTCTGCTTATATTCCTGGGAAGCATACAAAGTAGGTATAATTATAGATGGATCATGTGATACTGGGACTGCAGAGAATTGCAGCATATAGGATAAGCTGAAATGGAGGAAGGTGGAGAAGTCTAAAATTGACACTTGACCAGCAACTGGCTCATGGCCTCTCTAGCATCAGCCCCTTTATACTTTTACTGAATGTGTACTCAATGCCTGGCCCTGGGGACATGGTCCTGACTGATGTGATCCTTCCCATTCTGTTCTCTATTCCTCCATATTCCTTTTCTAGGAGAAGCAACAGCCAGTAAACTGGTCTACAAATGGAAGTTATGATTCATGCTGGCAAGGAACAGCACCAACTCTGGCTGGGTAGCCCGAGTGGAGGCATTCAAGTGGCCTCCAGGAGGCTAACAAGGAGAAGCCAGAAGAATGAAGAGGAGCTGGGGGAAAGGGGGACAGAAAACTTCATAAACCAGGGCACTTTTGCTTATAATCTCAGTGGGTCCCTAAAGAGCCTTTGCTTTTATGGGTAATACCCATTGATATGTATTGTATTAGAAAAGAAAAAAAAAATCTTAAACGCAAGCATACATTCTAGTAGCTGTCCAGAGGGATGATGTCATCACACATGAAGTAGCCTCTGCAATATTCCACTGTACTCTTGGGAGAATGAAGGGCAAATAATGTGATTGTTATGAAAAGAACTCTGATCTTGTGGACCCTGAAAGTGTTTCAGGTACTAATAGGTGTCATTCTCTGGCATCACTGAAAAAGCGCTGTTCTGGGGACCCACCTCAGGGTGGTGTGGCTGAGCTGAATGAGCACCAGAGCAAACCAGAGTGAG